AGACACATTTTCTTTCATGCATACATGCATATATATATATATATATATGTTTCTTTTTGTATATACATGTACATACATACAAACAAACAAACAAACAAACAAACAAACAAACAAACATACATACATACGTACATAGATGCATGTAGCTGTGTACTATGAAGGCACGAGTAGCCTAGTGGTGGGATTCACGGTTCTCAGGGCTGTGGGTTAAGGGCTTAGGGCTCAACGCTCTTAGCGTTTCGTGCCCACGTGTCGTCGGTATTAAGGCTCGTGGCTTCCTAGGTTTAAAAAGTTTATGGTTCAGGTTTTAGGGTTTAGGGTTTAGCGTTTGCCCTAGGAGGGGGGGGGCCGCGGGGGGGCGCCATTATTATCATTTTTTCTTATTGTTTCTAGCTACAGCAAAATAATGGATCCATTTTCCATTTCCAATCCATTATTTTTCGAGGGCCGAGGGGGGGGGAGGGGGCGCCATTACTATCATTCTTCTTGTTTCTAGGTACAGAAAAATTAAGGATCCATTTTCCATTTCCAATCCATTATTTTCTCGGGTGCGTCTTGGGTACTTCTGTAAAAATCCCTCAGCCCTAAACCCTAAACCCTAAACCCTAAACCCTAAACCCTAAACCCTAAACCCTAAATCAGAAGCCCTAAACCCTAAACCCTAAACCCTAATCCCTAAACCCTAAACCCTAGACAGGTTCCTTTTCCAACGCTAAGAGGCTACGTTGCTCTTGTAATGAGGAAAGGAACCTTCAAGGGCATCCTACCCTATGCAACCCTATGATATAGGGGCCTCAATAATTAGCAGAGGGCTCCCTTAATAAAGGGTTACTATAAGGGTTCTTATATGGGTTCATGTAGGGTCTCGTATTGGGGCCTTAATAGCTGGGGCGTGATTGTAGTATAATGAGAATAAGGAACCCTAAGGAATAATCTTCTATAGTACAACCGCAACCTTGCAGAAGTGTCATGCTTAGCCCCCACCCCCCCCGACAAAGCCCTAATCGAACCCTATAAAAGCCCATTTAAAAACCCTATTAAAACCCTCTTTTAATTTTAGGGCCCCTTAAAGGGATCTATAAGGGTTTCTATGGGTTACTATGAGCTGCCATTTGGGTAGTTCTCTGAATTAGGGTCCCTTTTAGGGTCCCTGAAAGCCCCACAAAAACCTGATTCAAGCCTCTAAACACTAGACTCTAAACCCTAAACTCTAAAGCCTAAACCCTAAACCCTAAACTCTAAACCCTCAACCCAACGTGGTGCATGCCCAGTCTCCCCTTGCAGCTGCCTCTGCGGGAGCATCACCAAAAGCTGCACAGCTCGGGACCAGGCCTCATGTCTGGGCTTGAGGGATTAGGCACTAGGTTTGAGGAGCTTGGGGTTTGGGGTTTAGGGTTTCGAATTTAGTTGAGGGTTTTGGGTTTTGGGGTTTTGCGTTTGGGGTTTAGGGGTTTAGGGTTTAGGTTTTAGGAGTTTGGGGTTTCGCGTTTAGAGTTGATGGTTTGGGATTTAAGGGTTTGGCAACCGGCCCCAATCCTAAAGCCCGAAAGCAGTGCCGTAAACCTGAAGGCTAAATCACGAAAGTAAACCCCAGACCCCCGAAAAGCCTAAACCCTAAACCCTAAACCCTAAACCCTAAACCCTAAACCACTAAAAACCAAAGTCTGAAAGGTTTAAGGCTTCAGCGGCTGCTGGGCAAGGGCTTAGGGGTTCGGGGGCTTAGCACCTGGATGCGAAGGTCAGCGTCAAGAATTCGAATTGTGTGTTGAATTTAGAACATTCAAGCCGAAGTGCAGAAGCACGCTCGCAGGCACTGATGGCGGAATTCCTGGGATTCAGGTTGGTGTAGTTGTTGCTGAAAGTCGGAAGTGGGGGTCGTATCGGCAGCCATCGAAGTCGCCGTCTTCGAAGTAATAGCAGAAGCAGTAGCGGTAGCAGTAGCGAGGAGGAGGAGGTAGGAGGCTTTGAAGGCTTTTGTGGGTCTTGCGGCTTAGGCTGGCAGGCTTTTGGCTTTCTGGAGCTGCCGAGGCTTTCAGAATCGGGGCTTAGGGTTTGGGGTGTGGGGCTTCGGGCTCAGGGCCTTCAGGGTTTAGAGTTTAAGTTTAGGGCCTCCAGGGTTTAGGGTTTAGGTTTAGGGCCTTTAGGGTTTAGGGTTTAGGTTTAGGGCCTCTAGGGTTTAGGGTTTAGGCTTAGGGCCTTTAGGGCCTTTAGGGCTTAGGGTGTCGGCCGTGATCGTGGCGGTTGCAACCGATATTATATCTACCAAAATTTGAATCTGCAATAACCACCAATTCATGGTGTTAAACTTTAACATGTTCCAGTGAATATACTTACATTTAATGACGCTAAGCTTCCAAATCACCAGGTCTCCTCGGACCGACTCCTTCTCCATGCTCTGAAGCACGGCCAGGGCCTGACGCGGCTTTAGGACCCTAAACCCTAAACCCTAAACCCTAAACCCTAAACCCTAATAAGTGCTGCTACGAGGCTGGAAGGGTTTTGGGCGGTATGGGTGCCGGGCTTAGGCCTTGTAGGAGGTGGGACTTCGAGCTTCTGTCCCACTATGTTAACGGTTTAGGGTTTAGGGCTTAGGGTTTAGGGTTCAGGGTTTAGGGTTCAGGATTTGGGGTTTTGGGTTTAGGGTTCAGGGTTCAGGGTTTAGGGTTCAGGGTTGGGGTTTAGGGTTCAGGGTTCAGGGTTTAGGGTTCAGGGTTGGGGTTTAGGGTTCAGGGTTCAGGGTTAAGGGTTCAG